TAAATAGACCTTGTACATGTCTGTCCGCATGCTCCCAAGTGTTTAATTTGACAAGGAAATCTTCAAGAGACAGGCTATAATGAACATACTCTGCAAACAGTAGCTTGCCGTCAAACTGCCTGATAGCAAACTGGAGTGGTAACGGAGACATATCCCCACCCAGAGAGATGTACTCAAAGTCGATAACCCAGGTATTCTGAGGACTCCTGTGGTAGCTTGTTGAAAGAGCTTTGACATCAGTCGTTGCATCATCCGTAAGTTTCAACTCCCATTGTGGCATTGGAAGTTCAGCACCCATAGCTTTCAATGACGACACATATTGGATGATCCTCGATGAGTGGTGCTTGCAATACCCAGAGTACAGCTCCTCTGGTAATGGACAAGTTAGGATCAAGCATCTTCTTCTCGCCTTCAACCAATGAATAATTTTTGAGGACTGCACATTTCATGGAAGACCGCTGGTTCAGACGCCTGTCCTTCATATGCCCTCTGTTACTATATTGGGTGGCCTCGTCCACCTCATCTGCATCGGTTGGATCAGCAAAATCCTCCTATTCAGCGACGGGATCTGTCACATAATGGACATCATCAGTCCCTCTGCCAGGCACCTGTGATTGAAGCATAGTCTATGGCGTAATAGAACATGCATTTTCCGTCGTTCACTACTTTACCGATAGTGAAAGCTTCCACTTCATCAGAAGACTGTGCCTTTAAACTCTGTGGCCTCACACCCTCCACCAGCTTCTCTGTCGGAGAGTAGAGGTGGTCGTACGGCTGCGATGCAGGCCGATGTAATGTAAAGTCTCTTAGCCTCGGGGGCTGAAGGGGCTTTCGGATGGTATCCTTCATAAAAACAACCCGTGAGCCCCGCCGGTGAATGTTGTTCACTAGTAGTTAAATATTCATGAATCGTCTTTGAATAGAACAGTAGAACCCAGCGCACGCATAGTTCGCATGAATTGGAGTGGTATAAAGAGTCCATGTGCTGGTACATCTCCTAGCCTAGGCGTCAGCGATCTTCAACCCGTAAGAAGAGCTGTTTGGCATGTGCTTTGCGAGGCAATCTGACTATATACATGGCGTATAAATGTATTTCTAGGGATTGTGCCTTTTTCAGAATTAAAGACCTCATGAAGGCTTGCTTGCGAGTATAGTTCTGCCCGAAGCCCCGGTCATATCTCTTGCGTTCTCGACCACGGGAACCAGCCTTGTAGTCGTCTGGAATGTCCAATAGACACTCATAATCGTCCACTGCAGGCTCTTCTCCATCTTGTATGGTCAAAACTTTGTCAGTCATGATTTCCCATAGTTTTGCATTCGTGCCGTTGTAGAAAAATCCATTTCGAGGACAAAAAGAATGACGAATTGTGGTTGTCGACCTAATTCGACGGAGTTGATCATCAGAAATGTCACAATACTGCCAAACATTGTCGTCAGTAAATAGTAGATTTCCGTCGAAAATGTGAGAGTTGTTGCCGTGGTTAGTGCGAACCACTCTTGGGAACGATATGTCGACGGTTAGAGGTGATGTAAAAGAATGATCTGCGATGATGGGGTCATAGTCGTACGGAAATTGTAGGTTTGATATATCTTATATTCAGGGCCCTGTCTTGAGCCAATGCCAAGGGCCACGAGAGCATGTTTCCAGGGCCCATTTGTGAATGAGTATCCACAGTAAGGAAGTGCTTCGAATAGACTTGAAAGATCTGGGGCCTGGGTGAGATTCTTTAGGGCCCTAGGGGTAGCAACTGGCCGTCTATGCATCACGAGTCTGATATCACGTAGCAATGCTCGCATGTCGTTCGAGAGAGAGGTTTCTGGCGGTAAGCTAGCCAGTGGCTCGTTCGGGACGTGGGTTGATTCTACAGATATTTGCAACTTGAGTTGCGGATTAGAGTAAGACTTGGTGCCTGTTGGAGAGAGGAGGCAGACGTACAATTCTCCCTTGATACTCCTGTTGCTGAACTGGGGTGGACCGACTTTGGGGAAGTATATGGTCATCCAGCTCATATGTTTCCTTACTCACGCCATCGTCCTCTTCCAACCGGGCTGCCATACCTGAGGTTCTAGTACGAACACCCAGGAGATGGCAGATGTGATACTTGGTGCTTGTCCAAGGATGGAGTCTCTTGGCAGTGATGCTCGAATGTAGTGAGCGACTAACCTCGATATCTCCGGGAGTAGGGGCTGGGTATCGTGTGCTGGCCCATGGATGTGAGTTCCAGGGAAGAAAATGGGAGGGGGGGGGGGTATAAATACCCAGTGGTGAGGCTTCTCAATGCTCACCAAGAGTAGGCAAGACTATGTAGAAGTGAATGTGGTTTCTAAATATATACGAGGCGGTTGGCTTATAGGTGAACAAAGGAAGGTAGTATACTTTGGTGAATTCTCCGACAATGGACACTTGGAGATGGTAAGCACTTTCATACCTTCACTGTCAAAGAATATCTACTGTTCAGGGTAGAACACCTGTTAACCAGGCAAAGATACGTGGGCAGAAGGGCCGGCAGTGGATACTATGTAGACAGAAGACTGGTTCTTACTCTTCCTTACTACTAACAATACACTAATTCATAATCAAAAAGGCCCCCGTATTCTCTGTATAGGAACAGGCAATCAGGTCGTCTTCCATCCGTCATTAAAAAGCCGACGGATATAGACTCCAACTTCGCCATTCGGTGGCCAGGTTGTCCATTCACACGGGCTGGGTATACTGCACAGTCATCAGGCTGAGTCGCTATTGAATCTGTGACATTCACCGTGCTTACCCATAGGTATTCTGGAGTCAAAAGGAGATCTGAGAATCTCTAGATAGACTTTATGTAATCACAACGGTTTAGAGTAAATCCTTGAGAGTCCCAGGCATCTGCATAATGCCTTTAGGGTTTCTGTCTTCGGCTCCGGTATGTAGGAAACGTAGCATTCTCATCGCTGTAAACGTTGGATCGCTGGGCTTGAGTAGCTGGTCGAACTAGAATACTTACAGATGGTATATTAGGCCGATGTTGTCTAACGCCCAGTCAAGCAAGTGTATATGGGATACATGCTAAGACGTAAATTGATTATCAGAAGTTAATTGCTGATAGATAGTCCTTGGTATATCACGTCGCAGTTACATATACTGGACGGAAGATGTAGTTGGATAGTATAATAAAGACTATATAAATATAAAAAAGCCAATTAAGGCAACAATAAGGCAAGATGACCGAGTGGTTAAGGTGTATGACTCAAGTTATAGCTTGTCCTAGAACAACTAGGGTTACTTCATATGTCGCAAGACGCGTGGGTTCGAATCCCACTCTTGTCAATTTTTTTTGCCCAACAGAGTAGCTATCTCGGGGGCATCTTTCGGATACTGACGGTGAAACCTACAGTGGGATGCAAAAAGTTTGAAACCATCCGCTTGACCGCCCTACATACCGCCATATACTACTAACCCTACCAAATTCAGTATTTGAACCTACACACTGTTACGCCCGGGGCTTCGTCGTCAAGTCTGAGACCAGTTAGCGGACCACGTTCCGAGGGTTACTAACCTAAAGTCGTCCTTCGACTTCCGTTCGTTGTGGGTTGTGGCCTTGATGGAACGGGAGTCGCTATGAGACTGCCGTCGGCGCAGGACTGCCGTTGTTACTAGACTGCCGTTGTTACTAGACTGCTGTTGTTACTAATAACTAGACTCGAGTCCAAAGAGCCAGATCTATTGAGTACGTATACTCAATAGTCAAAGAGTACAAACGAGTTGAGACTAGTCTGTACTACTAAAGGTAACTCTGTAGTAACAATTTGAATTGATCACGAAGAACTAAACTAAGTATATAAATAAGTGTCCTTATATATTCTTTCTTGTTATGTCACTGCTACGACTTCTCGTGCCAGTGATACACTGTATCTTGTCAGTGCTACGAGCTTGTCGTGTTGCTGATATGTTCGATTGTGTCACTGCTACAATACACGTAACTTTGTTATAGTAGCTGGTATCAGCGTTTGTAGCCCTTCCCGAATAACTACTAGATAAACAATTTGTTGGATGTCTTATCTATTCTATTGTTATTTTCTGCCTTATATATCCGCCTTCGATAAGATGCGCTAGACAAGGGTCTGTAACACACACATCTATCTACACCTTAAATTATAGCTACTGGGAAGGAGATAGATACCAGTTATTAAGTTAAAGGACCTGTAAACTAAGTATTCAGGCCCAGATATGGTTTTTACGAAGTTACTGCCGCGCAAAATAATAAAATTAGGAAGGCGGTTAGTCAAGGCAATAAATAAATGGATAGTTTCAAACTTTTTCATCCCACTGTAGTTAAAGTTGAGACGAAAGCAGCCGCGGCGTTTTCTCAGCCAGTGAAGTAAACATCTGATTGGCCAAGACTTTCCTGTCCTTGTTTGATAGACAAAGGACCACTTTCTAGGAACACAGAGCTTATTCCATAGGAAGATAGATCCCTAATACTACGTGCCCTGGCTTAAATAAACGTTGCTTTAGATTTCTAGTACCCCGCTCCATGCATTATGTATGGACCACCAAGCTTATAGGCTAGAGTCGCACGTTTCTGAGATTTTGTCACGGATCCGATGCAGAATCGGCCCGTATATCCCGGCAACCCTGGTTCATCGTACATAAATTCTGGTCCCCGTTGCCGTTTGGAACCAGCCGGATAAGGTGTCGCCTGACTGTTCGGTCCTTTTTGTGTGATCCCAAAGACCTACCAGATCCTAAGCTCTTGAAGGGGAACGTTAGACACAGAAAGAAGAGACACGAACCAGTTTCCGTGTCGTTCTACTACCCACTCAAGGTTGGACATTTCCCTTCCTACTTGCTCACGTATCCTTACCTAGTTGACAGGCTCCGTTACAGGTTCTATGAGCATTTGTATGGGAAATCAAATGCCGAGATTCGTCCCAACTTGCGGGATTTGTCATCTCCGAAGGCGCCATCTTAAAATGCCCTCCCATCTATATCCAAAACTAAAACCTCTTTTCATCAAGCCGGCAAGATGGCCGAGTGGTCTAAGGCGTACGACTCAAGCAGTACAACTCAATTTGTAGCTTGTCCTAGACAACTAGGGTTTCTTCGTATGACGCAAGTCGCGTGGGTTCGAATCCCACTCTTGTCAGATTTTTTGCTTCAATTGCTACCCGGGCTATCCCCCGATCAAGAGACTAACCTGCAGAATCCTTTTCAACGTAATGGCAAGGTGGCCGAGTGGTCTAAGGCGTACGACTCAAGTGCTAAAAATCAAATTAGAGCTTGCCCTAGAACAACTAGGGTGTCTTCGTATGATGAAAATCGCGTGGGTTCGAATCCCACCCTTGTCAGTAGTTTTTGCCTCTCCAGTTCCTTTCTGTTCTTTTTTTGCCGCTCTCTTGACAGATAGATAGATAACTTGTCATGGAACAGAGATGTCATGAGATGACTCTCGAATCCTCTGCTCAATCATTCAGCAACCGACGTACCAAAATGGATGCATTTTCTATTTACGTCATCTTTCCTGATGTTTGTCAATTGCTACACTCAGGATTGTTTTGTCAGCCTACTATTGTTGATTGATTTCCTTCTCATACTGTAAAATATCCGAGTTGAGACCAAAGCGGCCGGCGTGACTCGGGATCATCTTGACTACGGAGTAACGAGGCCGCCTTCCGATTGGCCAGTGTTCGCACCACTTTCGGTAAGTCAATAGGAGCACTAACTAGGTTAGGAAAGACAAAGCTTATTCAGATTAGTAAGACACTAGAACTGAGGTAATCACGGCATCGATCTAAATAGCTACAGTAGTAGGTATGTATCATGTCAGGATTAGATTTTTAGTACCCCGTTATGAGAATTTATATGGGCAATCCGACTCACAGGTGAGATTCTTAAAATTTCCGGGCTCTATGATAATTTGTATGGGGACTGGTGTTGGCTACTGTGGTGTGTATCAACTTGCGAGATTTTATAGGGCTTGTATGATACTGCAGTCTATTTTTGGCCATGGGCCTTCAACTGTTGGCGTATAGAGCTGGTCACTCTAGTAGATAGCTGATGCGAGTGCTTCGTCTTCTCTTTCGTGTGTATTCGGCCTGGTCGTGGTTGTGGTTCAAACCGAATACCAGAGTGCGTGGGATTCATTGCCAAGATTGAAGTAGAGTTAGAGGCCTGGAAAAGCACTTTATAACAAAGAAGAGCTTAAGGATATGTATGTATCGATGCTATCCATTGGTCTTGTTAAGTACATCTCCACGTTCAATAAGATTTCATGCGATCGATCCGATCACACCTCGCCTTAGCACCAGCCCTCGAAAGAGCAGCTTCAGGAACCCATAAATCCGATGCATGAAAAGCACCAGGCCAACCCTGCAATTCAACCAGCCCCCCGGAAGCGAGAAGACGGGACCTCTGCCGAGCCAACATCAATTTAACTATCCGTAGTAACTCAAGTAAATATACCTCCTGTATCTAACATCCATAGTATATCCCAGCCCCCAATGCCAAGACTCACACCTAACTGCGCATAGTTAGACTCAAATCGACCCCTCGATCTGTTTCAAAACTTGTGTTGTAATAGCCGTAAGATCTTACAATATAAAAGAAACTCGAGTAACTCCATCTGACGTCGGTGGTTCAACGAACCTCCAACAATCCCACACAGGTCGTGTATACAACCCCCAGATCCAACCACCACTTCCCAAACATCTACAGACTAAACCCTCCCTTCCAACCAACCATGGCCCACACATTCTACGACGGTACCATCCCGGTACTCCAATCCATCCTCAACACCCTCTCCCACATCCTTCACCGCGCCTCCCAACACCCCAACGCCAACACCCTCCTCACAGCCCGGCTCCACGAAGACATGTACCCCCTAACCGACCAAGTCCGCATCACGACCCAGTTCTCCGAGAACCTGGTTGCACGACTAACCGGTCGAGAGCCGGTGTCGTTTGATGGCAGCCCGGCGACATTTGCCGAGTGCTATGAGCGCATTGAGACGGTGTTGAAGGCGCTGAAGGAGGCCGATAAGGACGTCGTTAATCGGCAGGCGGATGTCGTCGCGAAGACGCCGATGGGGCCTGAGAAGGCGGTTGAGATGTCTGCGGCGGCGTATGCGCATAGTGTTGCTTTGCCGAATATTTATTTTCATCTTACTACTGCGTATGGGATTTTGAGGAAGGAGGGGGTGGAGTTGGGGAAGAGGGATTATTATGTTGGTTTTTTTCCGATGCTTGGGGGGCAGTAGTGGGTTATCATTCCTTTGGATTGAGGTGGTCTTGGATTTTTTATATTGGAGTTTGGACTGTGAGATTTGTTGTTATGGATTGCATAGATGGCTAGGTTTTGTGAGGTTCATATTAGATATAGATAAACATTTGTTCCCACCTATACTAGGCTTTGGATAGCATAGTAAATCAAATATTTATCAAATTGGTTGCTCAGCCTGAATACTCTCTTTTCTAGGACATTAATTGTCAGCGGTAACATACATTTGATCTTTCCTAGCTCTTATACTACTAGTAGGTAAACAACTTCGATCTACCGCCCCCTAAGAAATAGATAATACTGAGGTCTAGAGATAGCTACTTTTAGTACTAATTCCATACATTCCATATCCAAGTGACGAGAGAATAAGTCATTGCGACCACATCCAAATGCCGTCTCTAAATCGTACCCTAACGCGGAGAATGTCAGAGCGGTTGGTACAGTACATATATCGCATCTGGAAGTGATTACCCCGCATATCTTCTCACTCTTTGAGGTATACACGAGGGCACATTAAAACAGCCAGAGGAGGTGACTGGGAGCTGTTGGTCCAATGCTGTACATTCAATGATAGCGGGATAGACACCCTACTACAGCGCATTCCCTCTCTTTGATCTCAATATATCTAAGATGATATTTCTTACCCAAACAGACTCTTTTATCTTGATTTTGCATATTTTCTTATCACTATTGTGTTAAAGTCACAGTTCATACCCAGTGTCCTATCCTGGTTTTATACATCAAATGTCCAACCCTGGAGTCTGAATGGTAAGTCAACGTTAATAAGCTTAAGCAAGTCGGCCGCCAATGCATTCGACTACAGAATAACCGGGAGAACCAATTGATACTTTATGTCGACGACTCACTCCATGAATTGCCGCTTGGACACGTCTAGCAGGCAGGACAGCAGCCATCAGACTTTTCCGTACCCACAGTGGTCTAAGTGGCTCATTGACATAGAAGCGAGCTAGGGTATTGGGCTCGGACATCGATCAACTCTTGCTTTGCATCGAAATATTGTTACGATTTCTCAGAAAACGCGCGGGGCTGTATAGCTCAGCTAGAAGTGGAGCTTCCTACGTGGCGTTATTTGACTGAGCGGAATATTCCTCTCTCAATTTGAATTGCAGTCAGGCTTGTTCAATAGTCTGCCGATCCCAAAGCTGTTACTACTCACAACAAGGTCCATTATCCAGCACCATTTTCTCGGCGGATCGACCTCTATTCATTGGGTTAGTATGTACATATCATATACTGACCTGTCATATCTAGCGCCTGCTCAGCTGCATTTAAGAGCCAACCAAAGAAAGGCTTCTGGTATCATTGTTTTTTCTTGACACGCCACCCAGCCAGCCTTGCACTATTCGGAGTCTGATGAGGCGAGTTTGCCCCATGCACATTTTTTCCAGTGCGCCATAATCTGCGTATACCTTTTCATTGCACTGATCCATCACTGCGTATGATATATAGAGGAAATCTTCTATCCTTGTAAGCCCCAAAGTGTACCTTTGGTTCATAGAATCGCAGCTGTATTTCCTGATACTCAATACGGAAGCAAGCACCATGCGCCAAAGTATTATCCTGTCCTTGCTCTTGCCCTGCCATTCTCTTGCTATTCCTATTCCCCAGACTGAGCCGTCGTACATGCCAGAACCAAATCAAAGAGGTACATTTGGATTACTCTGGAGCTGTACAAGTACACTTCTTCTTTGTGTATGGACCGCGATCCATCCCAATGTCGTACCTATAAGGAAGTCATGGGCCACACTATATTATAAATCGGTACTGATGTTAATGGCTCTCCTTTGGCCTGAATTCATGTTATGCATGGCTGCGACACAATATTTCAAAGCAAGAAAGGTTCATCACACTTGGCTTGAGGCCTGGGGAGACAAGAAGGAGGAGAAGGAAAAACGAAGGCTGCTTGGAATGCCAGGCGCCTTTTTTGTCGTTATGGGGGGGTATGCTGTTGGCTCAAGCAACCACAATGGGAAGCCAGGGGAACAAAGAGATCCTCTCAACCAAACATTGGGAGAAGGAGCGGCACACCAAAATTCTTCATCTACATTGTCCCCTCCTGAGCTGGTTACTACCATCAGCGCTGATGGATTCATTAGCCTGCTGGAGAGGCAAGTCATCCAGACACGCATCAAGGACGGTCGTCTTTCTAAGTCGGCTTTCGAGCATTACACCATTCAGGACAAGGGAAACTCGAATAACCTCGCCAAAATGATCGTACTCCTGCAAATTATGTGGATGGTTGTGCAACTCATAGGACGAATCTCTGCAGGTCTACCTGTCACACTTCTTGAAGCCCATGTTGCCATCCAGATCCCCTTCGCTGTCGCTGCATACGCCTTCTGGTGGTCGAAGCCGTTGGACATTGATGAGCCGATTTTCCTCCCACTGGATGGAGACGAGATGCAGGGACACGATGTTAGAACAGAGACTCGATTTGAAAGTCGTGATCAACCTTTCATCACAGAAAAAAAGAGTCACAGCTCAGTGATTCATATGATCTTTCGCGTATGGTATGATATCGCCGTATATTTCGACTGGCAAGCAGAGTTGGTCTCAGCCAGTACCGCGGTTCTGAACGCTGGTCTACATTTAATAGTGTGGAACTCGCACTTTCCATCCCCGATAGAACGTTTATTGTGGCGTATCTCTGCTATTGGAGTAGGGCTGTTTCCCCTACTGATGTACTTGGCTATTCGGAAGAAGGGTATTGAGCCTTACGGCATCCGATACTTTTATGAAGCGCGGTTGAATGGCGGCAGTTTGCTAAGACAAACAGCTAATCTCCTAGGTCGTTTTGGGAGAGGCTTCCAGGATGCATGCTATCAGGTGGATCTAGAGTCAAAGGACTCAACACAACGGGATGGGTGGCCCGACTGGATGCCCGCCTGGTCTCGATTTATGTTGTTGTTAATATTCGTTGGTAGTTTGCTCTCATATACGCTCTCCATGGTGTACCTAATAATAGAGGCTTTCATCAGCCTCCGGAGTTTGCCAGTCGGGGCATACTCAAATCTTCAGTGGAGCAATATTTTCCCTCATTTTTGAGAAAATA